AGGAAGGGAGGAGGAGGAAACAAGGACCCGACCACCGTGGCAGTATGCTGGGGAAAATGGGGGCAGGGACCCCCTCGCTTCCCTTGGACAAATGGCCCATAGCATGCTTGGCTTGCTTGGCGTAGCGACAGCGAATCCCGTATAATAACCATCAGACAGAGGGATGGGACTTTTGTGGCTGTCCACCTTGTTGGACCCACGCTACCCGGTTCAAAAATGGGTGGCGCTTTTTGCACTACCTGCTGAGAGGGAGGCCAAAAATAACGTACTATAAGAAACCACCTAATGTAGTCTGCTGGTCCTCTCTGCCTTCTCTGCGCCAACGTCCATCCTCAGACACTGTGGGCCCTGTGCGCTCGGCGTTCCGCTGCCATGGCAGCAGGGAGGGGTGGGGGTGGTAGGCAGCAGTGGCAGCTCCACCAGCAGCGGCTGCCTCAGTCTGCAGTTCGATGATGAGTAGCTTTCTTCACCAGCGCAGTGAGGAAATACCTACTAAGCCAGCAGCAGCAGGCAGCAGCAACAGGTGGACCTGGAGCAGGACCTCAAACAACAGGCTTAGGCCTACTTGGACAGCACCCTGCCAACCGAGGGTAGACAATCCCCCTTGACTACTGGGCAACGAAACTTGACCTTTGTTCCCCAACTAGCATGAATTTGCCCTTGAAAGGCTGTCATGCCCGGCCAGTAGCGTGGCATCGGAGCGCGTGTTTAGTGCCTGGCAGGAGGTATTGTAACTCTGTGGAGGACACGACTGTCCACCCAAAAGTGTGGAGAGACTCACGTTTGTGAAAATGAATCAGGCGTGGATTAGTCTGGATTTCAAACCACCAGTTCCTGACACAACTGACTAAATCCGCCATGAATCATGCCCCTGCCATATGCCACTTTTCACGTCTCTACTCACACTGCTGGTGTGTTCCATTTTTTGTCATAGGGTGCTGGCAATTACGGGCCTCCCATAGCTGCTGCCCCAGGCCCCTAAATCTGCCATGGGCCCCTATACCGCCTCCTCATGCTGCTGCCAAGTCCAGAGTCTCTCATGGGTCCCTGTACGGCCTCCCATTGCTGCTGTCTCCATCGCCACACTCTGCCCATGTGCCACTTTCCAGGTCTCCTCACACACTGCTGGTGTGTTCAATTTTTTTAGTCATAGGTGCTGGCAGATTACGGGCCTCCCATAGCTGCTGCCAGGCCCCTAATCTGCCATGGGCCCCTGTACTGCGTCCTCCTCATGCTGCTGCCAGGACCACAGTGTTCTCATGCCATGTGCCACTTTCAGGTGCTCCTCACACTGCTGGTGTGTTCCATTTTTGTCATAGGGTGCTGGCAGATTACGGGTCCCTCCCATTGCTGCTGCCAGGCCCGTAATCTGCCATGGGCCCCTGTACCGCCTCTTCCATGCTGCTGCCAGGTCCAGAGTGTGTCATGGGTGTGGTCTGTACGGCCTCCCATTGCTGCTGCCAGGGTGAGGCAGCAGGGTCGCAGCAGTGTCAGTGGAGGCAAACGGCCACGGATGCTAGTCCAGCTCCACTGCAGCCTACACTAGCTGCTGAGGCCAGTAGTCTGTGCCGGGTGTGCACGGAGGAAAGTAGCCAGTCAGCCATGTGAGGAGTAGCGGGGGCAAAGTTTCCTACTCGGCGGTGTGGAATTTTTCGTCAAGCCGCCCGAGGAAGTAACGTAGCCGTATGTCGACTATGTGGCCAGAAAGTCAAGCGTGGCCAGGGGGCCCATGTTGGGACTACAGCGTTGCGTCAGGCATATGCAGCGTCGCCATTCGGTGGCCTGGGAAAACCGTGATAAAGATACGGCAGCGGTTTCTGCCTGCCCCAGCCCAGGGTTCCATTTTGTCATAGGGTGCTGGCAGATTACGGGCCCACCCATTGCTGCTGCCAGGCCTTAATCTGCCATGGGCCCCCTGTACCACCTCCTCATGCTGCTGCCAGGTCCACAGTGTCTCATGGGTCCCTGAACGACCGCCTCCCATTGCTGCTGTCTCCATCGCCACACTGCTGCCATGTGCCACTTTCAGGTCTCCTCACACTGCTGGTGTGTTCCATTTTTTGTCATAGGGTGCTGGGGCGCTGTGTTGGCATATTCCGCTCGTTCAGATGCTCCTTCTCCAGTGTACTCCTCTTCACGGATTCCGTCAGCAGTCTTTCTTGGAATCCGTTTCCAAGAGACAACAGTTTGCGAGCACGCACCCGACGGTGCAGAAGCTGAACGTCTCCTGTCCAAGTTGCTGCACTGCCAGCATCGTAATCTGTCATGCGCCCCTGTACCGCCTCCTCATGCTGCTGCCAAGGTCCAGAGTGTGTTCATGGGCCCCCGTACCGACTCCTCATGCTGCTGCCAGGCCCGTAATCTGTCATGGGCCCCTGTACCACCGCCTCCTCATGCTGCTGCCAGGTCCAGAGTGTGTCATGGGTCCCTGTACGGCCTCCCATTGCTGCTGCCAGGCCCGTAATCTGCCATGGGCCCCCGTTCGTACCAACTCCTTCATGCTGCTGCCAGGCCCGTAATCTGCCATGGGGCCCCAGTACCGCCCCTCCTCATGCTGCTGCCAGGTCCACAGTCTCTCATGGGTCCCTGTACGGCCTCCCATTGCTGCTGTCTCATCGCCACACTCTGCCATGTGCCACTTTCAGGTCTCCTCACACACTGCTGGTGTGTTCCATTTTTTGTCATAAGGGTGCTGGCAGATTACGGGCCCCTCCCATTGCTGCTGCCAGGCCCGTAATCTGCCATGGGCCCCCGTACCGACTCCTCCTATGCTGCTGCCAGGCCCGTACTCTGTCATGGGCCCTGTTGTCGCTTGTTGGCATATTTTCCGCTCGTTCAGATGCTCCTTCTCCTGCTACTCCTCTTCACGGATTCCGTCAGCAGTCTTTCTTGGAATCCGTTTCCAAGAGACAACAGTTTGCGAGCACGCACCCGACGGTGCAGAAGCTGAACGTCCTCCTGTCCAAGTTGCTGCTGCCAGGCTCGTAATCTGTCATGCGCCCCTGTACCGCCTCCTCATGCTGCTGCCAGGTCCAGAGTGTGTCATGGGCCCCCGTACCGACTCCTCATGCTGCTGCCTGGCCCGTAATCTGTCATGGGCCCCTGTACCGCCTCCTCATGCTGCTGCCAGGTCCAGAGTGTGTCATGGGTCCCTGTACGGCCTCCATTGCTGCTGCCAGGCCCGTAATCTGCCATGGGCCCCCGTACCAACTCCTCATGCTGCTGCCAGGCCCGTAATCTGTCATGGGCCCCTGTACCGCCTCCTCATGCTGCTGCCAGGTCCAGAGTGTGTCATGGGTCCCCTGTACGGCCTCCCATTGCTGCTGTCTCCATCGCCACACTCTGCCATGTGCCTTTTCAGGTCTCCTCACACTGCTGGTGGTTTCCATTTTTGTCATAGGGTGCTGTATGGCCTCCCATTGCTGCTGCCTCCACCGCCACCACTGTGGCTCCACACTCTGGTTTTGGCCCCGTGACTGCCCAAATGAGTGAAGTGTGCGGTTGATTCTAAGATCGACGGCACTCATCTGCATGTCATACTGACTGTCAGTATTATTTCTCTTCCCAGCAGACTCCAAGGGCATTTAAATTAAAAGTACAGTGTTCTGCACTAAATAAAGGCTCTCTGAAGCCTAGAAAACACCCTTTTATAAGTTAAATTCGCAGCGAATATATTCGACTCGAATCAAAAATTTTTCCACGAATTCGCCGAATCAGTCGAATCAAATTTTTGAATACTTCGCTCATCTCTATTCAAGATCAAGCAGGAAAAGAAAATGTCAGGACCTTTCTACTATGGGTCACAGCACACAATAGACAATGCACTTTTTGGGTCAGACATTGAATGTCAATATGTCTAAGGCAGCCATTCTCAATCAATTTTCCTTGGAACCCTAGCATTCCTCCAGAGGTTGCTAGGGGTTCCTTGAGCTGTGGCTAATTGACTTCCCATTTGATAGTCTCTGCTAGGGGTTCCTTGAGCTGTGGCTAAATGACCTCCCATTTTATAGCCCCTGCATAGTTCCAGAAACCAACACTACTTTACGAGTCAGTGGCATGACACTAAATAATCTTTTTAGCTATCTGTAAGGGCAACATTTAGACGATCACTTTGAAAGGTGCTTTTTTCTCACTGGCCGCCAATGTAAGGGGGATTTTTCTCACTGACCCCAATAAGTTGTATTTAGAAAAGGTTCCCTGAGACATAAAAACTATGTTAATGGTTCTTCTGGGGTAAAAAGGTTGTGAAAGGCTGATGTAAAGAGTAAAAAAGTATGCATGTATGTAGGTTCTTCTGATCTGCAGTTCGGCACTAAAGTGGACCTTGCATGAAAATGCAATATCTACTTTAATGTCAGCCCCCTCCCCCCAAATATAAACCTCTCACAAAACAATGCTAAAAAAGAGACATTATAGAAAGATATTTTAAAAATCCAGGTTAGGACCTAACTTCCTGAGGCAGTCACTGAGCATGGCTACTGCTGGGTGCATCACATTGCAGGAGTTAATTCTCAAAGGATTTTAAGCACCCTGCTGTGGCAGCAGACAGCAGTGAGGCATGGTGCTTTTTTTTCTACTAAGCCTCATTTTTGGCAACCTTTTGTTGGAATGTTTTATTTAGGAGGTTGAAGGGCTGTCGCTAAAGCTACCTTGGATTTTCATGCAAGGTCCAATTTAAAGCAAAACTAAAGGAAAAACTTTTGTTTTTAGCTTTGGATAGAGTGGAGAATGATTACAACACATGTAAGGTTTTTAATGTTGTCTGTACCCTGGTTGGTGACCATTATCACAGAGACTTAAAGATAATCCAAATATTAGAGTTTTCACCAGGGCCGGTGCTTCCACTAGGCAAACCCGGTGGCTGCCTAGAGTGCACTGCCACCTAGGGGCACCTGGGCACAGCACAGGCCGACACTCTCTCTGTGTGGGACGTGCCACGTCAGGAATGAGAAGGACAGAGAAAGATGTCCGGTGTCTGGGGCCAGTGTAGCAGGTGAACTTTCATTCCTTCCAGTGTTCCTCTCAGACTCAGTTCCTACTGCAAGCTGGCTGGTGGCTTCTGATTATTGTGGAGTTCCAGTCCTTCTCTTCCCATTCATCAGTGGAGGCAGAGCTGCACCTGCAGAGGAAGGTAATGTCTGACTCTCTGATGTCCTGTGTCTGTGTTAGTGTGGCCCGGCTGGCCATCCATCACATATGCAATGTGTCAGTAAGTGATGACATCATCACGATCCCAATACCTGCTCTTCTAGTGCCTGCTGGGCCTGCTGATCTGTGTCAGTGTTGGTGGTGGTGTGTTGTGTCGGATCTGTCACTGTAAGGGATCACTCAGTTCAGGTGTTCTCTGTGTGTTTGTGTGTGGGCTGGGCTGCCTGCTGTTACAGCATTTTATCTCCCCCCATTGCCTGGGAAATTCCAGTCTGGGATCTGTCGGACTGTGGATCCATCATCCTCCACTCACTGAAACTGTGACCCTGCCACTGCTAGCCACAGATACAGTCTGTCCGTAACACTGATTTTGTCTTTAATATTGGTGCTGGTGGCATCTTACGGCACTTGTTTTTGCAAATTAATAGAAATTTAGCAGTTTCATTATTTATTTATTGGGGGGGGGGCGCAAGTAGCTGGTCTTGTTTAGGACACAAAATAGTCTGGCACAGGCCCTGGTTGTCATCAGAACAGAAATAGAAGAGAAATCTTCCATAGGAGACACTGGTTCCAAACATATGTAGTGCCCTCCTAGTCAGCAAGGAAAGCTAGATCCTAATAGTTAGACAAGGACTGAATAGCAGCCCAGGTGTAATAGTCAGAGATCACCCTGATTGACACGGACATTCGCCTGAAACACCACGGATGTTTCGGCCTAGGACTGGTCAGAGGGATGGAGAGATTTTGCCTTATCTGTTCTGAATGCAGGAAGCCAACTGCCCTGATCGAACCCTGGGTCATGTGCAGGCACTGCAGAGAGCCACTTAACCAGCTGTTGCCCAGGGATCTGGCTCCCTGCACATACAGTGTGAACCTGCTCACAGAACTGTGTACCGAGAGACTGGAGGGACGGAATTGGAAAGCCGGAGGAAGTGTGATATCTGAATCACAGAGCGGTGTCGAGTCCCAGGACCGCAACTCCCCTGCTCCAACTGCAGACCCTTGCAGTGGAGAAGGTTTGTCCACCACCATCCATCATGTTCCAGCAGATGTCACTAGAGGGCCGGCGCCCACAAGTGATGCCCAGATGGAACCAGTTGAACTGGCGGTCACACCCACCAGCCCTGACCATTCTGCTTGGAAGGAGCCTAGCTGTGAGTGTCAGCAGTGGGGTGATAGGTTAGGATAAACCCAGGCTGTTAGCTGAATTCAGGCCTTTAGAGATAGAGCTTGAAGGATGGCCCTCAGAGGAAACAGAGGAAGACTGGGACTGGGGGGGCACCACAGAAGAGCTGGATTCAGAACCTTCTTACACACCAGACTCTGCTGGACATTCCTGTAGGTTAGAGCCTGTCAGGATTCCTTCCCAAGCCCCACCACCCAAATCCTTTTTCTCACCTTGGCCTAAGGCCAAAGCAAAGTCTACTGATTTGCAGAGAAAGGTTATCAGTTCTCCTCAGTCTTGTGTGCAGCTAGGTCTAGGGAACAAAAAGCATCTGCCCCATTTCTCCCGCATGCAGAGGGAGGTACAGAAAAGGGCGGCCTTGAAGTGGGGACTAGATTACACATATGTCCCTCAAGAAGTTATGGACACAGTTGAGGAGTCCAGGGCTCAATGGAAAGAGGACTTGATCTGGGACCACAAACACTTGAGAGGGCCTCATCTGGAAGAAGCTTGGGCCCACTTTCAAGACATCACACAAGAGTGGAGTAAAGGCTGGGCTATCTAAAGGCACTGGGTGGTAGTTGTCAAGGCTGGTCAGTCAAACTGAAGTTATTCTGTGGCTATCCAGAAACCTGATGGTACTTTGATGAGGCAGCCCAGTCCATGGAAATACTATTAGGATTTCAGTCCAGTGGGTTGTTGTTTTTTTTTATTGTATGCGGACTGATACCGGACTCTGTTTTTGATCCCA